AAAAGCAGCATCAAAAATCCCATTATGACGATTTTTTTAATTTAATTAATTTAATAATTTAATTTTTTTATTTTTATTTTTTTTGCAAATTTTTTAAGCCTAAACCGTTTTGTCATTTGAGGGGACTTTTTTTAAAAAAAATCTTTAAGAAACTATTTTGATTCATAAAAAACTCATTTTTGGAGGAATTTTTCAAATCAGTTCAGCTCACGTAAATTTTAATATTTTTCAGAAATATTTTGGTGGAACTCTTAAAATATAATAGATTTTATAATTCCAATGGAAACGCAGTTCCGGATTTTTTTTTTATATGGGGAGTGATGCAGTCTAATGTTCATATATAGACACAGGCAGTATTGTGGCCCTATTTTTTTTTGTAAAAAAGCTTAGATTTTATTAAGATATCAATCATAACAGTGGTTTTGTGTAATAGCGATAGAATGCTGCCTCTAGGAATGTATTGTTTTAGGTCTGAAACATCCGATGTTTAAGTGGCGATGGTTGCATATTAGAGTGGTTCACAATAAAAAATATTAAAATGTTAAGCTTTTACCCCATAATAATAATAGACTGGCGCTTAAACAATGGGTCGTATGCATTAAACCTAAGCACATTGCTAACCACTGCACCACAGCAGCCGCTCTCACCCCATAAATTGAGGTGTTCAAATTTTTGTTCGATCTTTAAACAGCGGAATCGTGTTTCTCGTCTCAAAATCTTTAATATTAGTGTAATAAAACATACGATTTTTTTTTTTTGAACAAGTCCGGGGGATTTTGCATGTTTTATTCGAAGAACGCAATTTTTGACCGATTGTTTTAAGGTCAAGGAGTAGTTGTGGGTCAATGGGCAGTATTTTTCCGTGAAAGAGAATAATATTAGCTTTCAAAACTATTTTGTTTCATATCAAAATATTGCTTCTGTCGAAAGCGCTACGATTAATTGGCATGAAGTGTTAAAAAAGCACACTGTGTGCCGTCGAGTTAGCTCGAATATTTTATTTTTCAATCGAGAAATGTAATTTTGAAATTTTAAAATTACAACAGTGTATTTTTGTCAGAAATATATGATTTATAAAAATATAATTTATTTATATACAATATATAATATAATATAATAAAATGTCTATCATACTTGGGCGTACAAAATTTTTGATTCTTATTTCCCCCCAAAAATCAAGCTTTGAAATTCTGTATACAGGAATTGATAAGAAATGAATTTAGTAGGTATGTATTTTTTTTTATAAAATTTCATCCTTGCATACAGTAAAACCCGCATAAGTACCTCACGAAAAATGTCAGCTTTTTGAGGTACTTAGGCGGGTTGGGTACTTAAAAGAACCAGCTTAAGTACTTAAGCGAACATAATTATTGATGTAGTTACATCTTTTTGTTAACTTACATAAATATGTAAATCCTTGAATAAAACATGAACATTTAATGAAGTATACGTAGTTTAAAGCCAAGACCGTAACATTATTTAAGATTATTCAATTAAAATACAGTTAATTCCCTAGCAAATACCATATAAAACTAAGCTTAAGATTTTATAGAACACTTAAAGAAAAAATTCAGCAAAATTAAAAATTTTTTTCTCAGAAGTATTTTTTGAGTATACAATTTTATAGCCCATTCAATTTTAGTGTAATAATGTGCAAGTTTCAAGTGCCGTTGATTTTTTATAATTTTTTTTCCGAAGGTGTGTACCGCTGCCACTGAATTTCAAAATATGTAAATATTTTAAGGAATTTTAAAAGAGCACTTAAATAGGGAAAACTATAGGTAAAATGGTAAGTGGGGCACGAAAAATTGAGTTAGTTAGACGGGTTGGGTAAATAAGCGGGGAGGTACTTAAGAGAGAGATTTTCTTCAGATTACATTCAAAAATTCACATTACCCAAAAATGTTGTTGGTTACTTAAGCGGGATAGGTACTTAAGCCAGGCACCACTGTACATATTTACATTTTTATGTCACATCCATAATTATGCAACTCCAGAGGACCTACACATTCATACATACATACCCTGGGTACAAAAAGTTAGATTATTAGGCGGTATGTGTTATGGAAAGTATAATTGTGTACACGTTTTTTAAAATGACTTGTATACATACAGAATTATTATTTTTCTTTTTGGTGATAACCTTCCAAACTGGTCATATTTTGCTTTATTTTTGGTAGCTTGCTGCTATAAAAGAACCGAATGCCTCGGAAATTTATTCAGATTTATTTAAAATTTTGAATATTAAACAAGTGAAGACTTCTCTTATCAATTAAAATGGCGAAAGTTATGGTAATAGCCAAATGGCATTCAACATTATTCCATTATTCAACTATTGGTTTTGTGTGTTACTTTTTTTTTTAGATAACCTTCCTCGCTGTTTGCGTTGCTTTGGCTATGGCCAATCCAGCTGGATATGGTGGCTCTGGCGGATTTGGTGGGCAAGGTGGTTTTGGCAGCGATAGTGGATATGGCCACCAAGGAGGATCTCATGGCCAGAGCGGATTTGGCGGTCAAGGTGGACATGGTGGACAACAAGGTGGTTTTGGCCAAGAAGGAGGATCATTTGGCGGTGGACAGGGTGGATTTGGGGTCAAGGTGGACGTAGTGGACACCAAGGTGGTGTTGGCCAAGAAGGTGGATCATTTGGCGGTGGACAGGCTGGATTTGGCGGTCAAGGTGGATATGGCGGTCAAAGTGGATATGGCGGTCAAGGTGGACATGGCGGTTTGAGTGGTAGCCATGGCGGACACCAAGGCGGTTATGGTGGTGGACAGCACGGTGGTCACTATTAAGTTTGAATGTTGTACATATGTACATACATACATGTAAAAGTATTGAACATTTGTGCACATACATATATACTTAAATATGTATAAACATTTACCCTACATACATGCATCTGTGAATAAATTTAAGACCTAAATGCGAACTGGCCTTCATATTTATTAATTAAGTGTAAGTTAGTAACACATATAATAGCAGGAGTAACGGTATAAGAATATAACGCCCCGCCCGGTTTTTCAGGTGTTCAGCGATTTTCACGTTTTCGACGTGTGCGGAAAGATATGTCTTTGGAAAATGTGGGTTCTGTCACCAAAGAGAATCCTCTGTATTTATACCTCTTTGATCAGACCCATAATCAGCTATGAGTCAGTGGTATGGTAGAACAGACTCTCAATCTATAGCGTGGCAAATCTTGTTGCTAAACTTCAAAGAACGATTGCCGTGTGCTGTACGGCAGCTTTCTCTACAAACACCTAGCGCTTCTCTTGACGCACTACTGCAATTGTGTCTACATACGTGGGGAAGCCTTAAAGGCAACCAGCATCTGAGCCCCTGTGTCTTTTCAATGCCACAGGATAGTACGCCACCATTACCTTTGTTGAAGAGATGCGATAATAATGGAGTACCCTGCGGCTGAATGCTGGTTTATTACCAGCACTGGAAAACAAAAATTCCCGCCAAATATTTTCAATAGTCAAATACACCGATCAGCTGATTACTTGCTATTAGGTTTGTTCGTCGAAAATCCAGCAAGAATTATCCAACACTCAAAATATCAGAGAGTAAGAAAAAATTCTCTCAAATTCTCTGTCATGTTGAGAAACTTGCAAATTTCTGCACGAACGCAAATTTGCAGGAATTTGCAAGTTTCGCTGCCAGCTGGCGTCCACGGTTGCATTTCAAACATAAAAAATTGTTATATAATTTTTAAAATTCTTTCGGATGGCCAAAAACAGGATATACATGTATATTTCTTGTTGTTCTGACTTTCTTTAACATACATTTCAATTTCTTCATCGTACTAGCTGTCGGGTTTCTTAAATCGACTCTGGTTGCAATTGCATTCCGATTGCGAATACCATTTTTTCAGCCGAATTAAATTCATATCATTGGAATTAACTAAATTAATTATATCAACAATTATTTACTTCCTTTTTCATAAAAAAATCGCTCGTGTTTATAAATTTTTAAATTTAACGAACTAATTTATTCAAATTATTGTAAACAAAAATGCAACCATGCGCCACAACCACATGTTTTTCGTGTTTGCAAATTCTTGCTGGCAAAATTTTTTCCAGCAAGAATTTGCAACTTCTCTCTCACTTTGCTCTCACAATTTTTGAGAGTTGGATAATTTTTTGGTCTGCACGAACGCGATTTGGGCAAAAATCGTGATAATTCGTACAAATTCGTACAAATTTTTTGCTCGACGAACAAACCTAATTTCTGCTAGTTTTGCGCAAGGCCTTTCTCAAGGCGAATTTATACAAGGTGGTGATAACAGAACAAAAACAAAAATTACAACAACAAATTATACGTTCCTTGACAATCAGTACAAAGCCAAATTACAACAAACACATAATTTTGACAAAAGGTACAAATTCTCCGTGAAATCAGCGGACCCGATAACACCACCTCAAGGCGAATTTATACAAGGTGGTGTTGATGGCGAATTAAATTCTTCCTGATAATTATTTGCTAGAAAAGAAAAGAAACAAAGCCAATATTTCTGTTAATTTTGCTCCGCTCTGCGCTCACGATCCTAAATAGTGGTGGACTTCTGGAACAATTTCTATTAAAAACTAAAAGGGTGAACTTTCAACCAATTTCTACTCTAGGTGCGTTCGTTTAAAATCTCCAGCAGAAACCAACCAACTGCCAAATTCCGGCGAAATGTCATCTGTTCGCTCACAAGAGAGAAATATCCAAAATAGTACGCGAACAGAAAATTTGCAGAAACTTGCAAGTTGGACGAACAGCTGATATAATTTTTGTTTACATTCAAAAGTGTAAAATTAAAACGTACGAAAAGTTATCACAAAGTGTTATACTGACACAGTTTATTGATTAAACAAATAACTACTTATTTCTTACAAGTGTAATTAGTCGCATTTTGTAATTTTTAACTTCCAAACCATCAAATTCAATTTTGTGATTTGCGTAAATGCCACCAGCTTAATGATCGTTCTCTGCTAAAAGTGCGATGGCAACTCATCACTTCGATTTGGCAATCAGCTGTTTTCTTTTGACCAAAACAAATCGATCGTTGATTCGCTTTTGTGGGTCTTTTCCTCAGACGGGTTGCAAAACGTAATGTTTATTAAATAACTATAATTGGATAACAATCGCTTTAATACATATATTTAAAACATTGCAGAGTGGGCGTGGGCCACCAACTTCATCATGGCTATGTTGACGCGTCGTACTTCACCCGGTTCACCAAAGGCTTTTCAGCGTTTCCAAAACTGCATTGCCTTTCTATGGCCGTCGCTTAATTCCGGGACAACTCAAACAAATTCAGTGCAGCGTAAATCGACACAAATGGATGCAATCGATTGCTTAACAAACGAATTGGTAAGCCGCAACTCAAAAAAATGGGATGAGCTGAGAGATTCGTTTACTATGAAGAGTAATACACCGGATCTTAATGCAAGCAGTTATAGCGAAAATAATGAATTAGAGTCAATCAGTTTCGGTCAGAATGTGAATATTTTGTCCAAAGGTGTTGTAACTGATTTGCAGGCTATTCGTTCGCCACAATTGGGACTAGATATACGATCGTTGTCTCAAGCACAATTAGACAATTTGTTGCTATCTACTGTAGAAATAAAAAATAAACCCGATTTTCTGTACCTAATCAGGCAGTGCGTTCGTCATCAGCAGTTGCCATCCAATGAAGTGCTGGTGTCTTGCCTTAAATACCTCATGCAATTATGTCGCTTGCAACAGATAGAGTCATTGGCAGATCTGTGTAAATTACGTGCTCATCCACTTATAAAAGTATATGCCAATTTTGCGCCTTTCAAAGCCATGGCGCTCTGGCGCAGTGGCAGTGCGGATGTAGCTTTGATGACTTTGCACCGTGGCTATAGTGATTGTATTGAAACGGATGAGGGCCGAAGAATGGCGCGGAATGTGTTTCGAACCATCGTCGAGGAAACTTTGGCACAGAAAAGCGAGGCTGTTTTGGTTTCGCTAATGCAAGTGGCACGCTCAATTTACATTGAGCAGAAGGATATTTTCGTTATAGCCTGCGTGTGGAAGCAATGCTTTGCAAGTGAATGGTTTTGTGATCAAAAATCGGCTACCGACCTCTATGAACATTACACAGAGTTGCAACAGCTTGTGGCAAAGAGGTAGGCATATTTATGTATGAGATTTATGCGATTTACTTTAACATTTCCTTATTTCTAAGATCAAGTTCCCTTTCCTCATCATTTATACGAGCGAATAATATAGATGCCGTTCATCGGCTTATTGAAGCTTTTTTGCAAAAAGATCAACGCGATGCTTGTGCTAACTGCCTTAGCATATTGTTTAATCACCAATGTAAGTAATCTTATAAATTTAGTTTTTGATAAATAAAACTATAATTGAATGCTTCTTCTCATATTTCAGATCTACGGGGTGACTTGAGAGCGTGTGCTGAGATCATCAAGTCCTGTAGCGAGTTGGATATGCCGTTGAGCGAAGTTCAAAATGAACAGTTTTTGAGTTTGTTCCTCAATCAGCCGGCAGCCCTTGGATCTCGAAATAACGAAAGCTATCAATCAAAACCAGTCAAAGAATATCAATATAAATTTTAATTCCATTTGCAAGGATGCAACAGTTTATTAGAATTAAACATAGGGCGTTTTTTTTAATTAAGGAAATCGAATTTTAGTGTTCGTTGTTAAATCAGTCACGCATTCTGTACTGAGTGAAATATCGTAACGTTGCACGTACAATTATTCATTACGTAAAGATCTTAATAAAGCAATAAACTGTTTAATGTTGTACTATACTACTTTTTCTCTTTATTATCGAACAGATTTGAATTAAACTTTTAAGTGTTTACAAAGTAAGCAATTTTGAAAATTTGGTTAAGAATCCGGTAGCTCTGTGACCCCCATGCAATCATTGCAACGGGTGATCAAATGTCGGTAACAAAGCGCTCTCAGACATTGTTGACAACGCATACGTGTCCGATATTTAGAGCAAATAGCACACCGTTGTCGCCGCTCTAATGTCTTTGACATTAGCACTAGACCCTCTGGCATATTCAATTTTTCTGATGGGACAAATCCTTTAGCGGAATCCTTTTTTGCTGCTTCACAGGCTTTCACCAGAAGTTTTTCTGTCGACTCACCCAGAACTTCACACACTTGTAACTTTTGTGGGAGTGTGAGTTTGTTCCTTTCATGCAACTGCCTTTTTAGTTGCATTTGTGTAAGATAAAGGCCCAGGTCTCTTTGGAATTCACGTTGCGTTGGCGGGCTCTTGGAACCCGGTGCAGAAAGCTGCATCAATATCCACGCATTAAGTGCAGCAAAATTCAGAATACGATAAAAGAATGTCAAAGTGTAATTGGTGTTGTTTTCAGGCGCTCCATAATTCGTATTGAATGTTTCGATAACTTTCCCAAACCGGTCACTTGACTTCGTACTAAGGGTAAAGAGGTGCTCAATGGCCACTTTATTTGGTAGTCCATTTGATAGGAGAAAAGCAGCCGCACCTCCAGATCTTCGTGTTAAACATCCAATCTCCGAGTATAACTTCTGTTTTGTCTCGTCAATAATTAAATCTTTTGGAACTTCTTCAGATTCGTCTGACAATGCACCCACCAAAGACAACTGCCTCTCTTCCAACTTGAGTGCTATTTCTGAAGATGTAAACAGATCTGGCAAGATTATATTACGATTGCTCCCCTTAATGTCAGTTACCAAATGGAGTACCGTGCGTTCAATGGTCTTTTTCGATACCATCTGATTTGATATTAGCGCATTGCATATATACAAAGATTTAGCATCGCATAATATAGTTAAATGTGAGTTTTCTTGGCCATCTTTCATGTCTACTATCGAATCGTTAACAAAACAATTGCCACTCGGGGAATAATAGGATCGGCAGTTTGCTAAGAATCGTTCCCAAACATCTGTTATTGGCAACAAATTGCGGACTGAGCCCCTCTTAGAAGACGGTGAGCCAAAGCTTATATATTTCGCTAAAAATTCGAACCGTTTCCAAGTCATTGTGGCTCGAAAAATTGAGTTCCCTAACTCCCAAGTCCACAATTCGTTTAACGGACCAGGTTGCGAGGTGTTTCGAAATATACCACAAAGGTAATTCAAACCAAGCCATGCACGCAGCTCCACAATATCTGTACACTTTTCAAATGATGATTTTCCCTTGAGACTTCGTATTTTTTCATTAGTATGTGCAAGAATGATAGCCAATATACGCTCATCCAGAAGCAAATACCAAGCTTCTAGCGCATTTTTAATCTTCGTTGCCGGACCCTTTCCGGTTGGCGGCTGTTGCAATACCACTGAATCAGTTGGAATAAATTGTTTGTATAATGTTTTATTAGTGCTCCAAACAATTCCGTTGGGTGCCTGGAATTCGACAAACGTTTTGGCCCTCTTACTCCTGCTAGGTATCGGCATTGGATTCGATTGTTCTTCTTCATGCTCATTAATGAATTCAAACTCATTGTATTCTCCTTGAAATAGTGGCACTAATAGATTTTCTTCCTTATCATGAAGCGGATCATCACATTCCTGTTCCTCGCAGTCAATGTCGCTAAGAGATTGCTTTACTTCATCTTGTATATTTAGCTCACTGCACTCTGCATTTTCTGTAACTATGGATATTTCTTTCAAAGCTTGCAAAGATAGCTTATCATCTTCATCCTCCGAATCACTCATTTTGGAGAGCTGTTCATCCGTATAACTCATATTTTTAGTTTTATTTAATAAATTTGCAAAGCTTCCCAGATGCGCTTAAGCAACAAAAAGATTAAAGGGTTAAGAGGAGTGTTCGCGTGGTAAACAACTTGTACAAGTTATTAAAAAGTCGCGTTCGTTTACGCAAAAATCTTGAAGAACTTGCACGAAGAGAGCATAATTTTAACATTTTTTTTTTGCAGGGTAAATATTTTCCCAGCACCAATTTGTAACCAGGATTGTGGTACATGAGCATGATTAAGTAATAATTAATTATTGAATCATGGTACATGAGCTCTGTTCATGTACAAAAATAAACAGCAAGTTAATTTTATGAAACTTGCACGACGGTCGATTTCGTCTGGTGTGATTGAAGTTGCTGCCACATATTTTGTTGTCGCTTATGATTGTCACTGTGTCATGATTTTGTTGAAATTTTTGTAAAGTTGCTTACCACACTTACGATTGCTATACATTTTGCTTCCATTTTTGTAAGATTTTTCTAATTTGATATCTTCAAACTGAAGCACCAAAAACGAACCAAACTCCAAACTCAACAATTTTCGCGTTTTGAATACCCCCTCAATATGGTGCGAAAAGCATCAAATTGGCAACAGTGAATGTAAACAAAAGTATTTTATGATGTCAGCAATTGGGTAGATGCTGTCAAATCGACGAAGAGAGGGTTAGCAGTCCCTGACTGGCGCGATCTTTATTTTCTGGATCTTGAAGACGACCGGTAAACAGACAAAGCTAAAAGGTCCTACACACTCATTGATTTATCGGCCAACAATTTGACCAACCAATTTAACGAAATTCTCTACAAACGCACCAACCAGCTGGCCGATTTCATTTAAGTAAGAGTTTTTGAACTGTGAACAGCACCGGTAAACTTTTAAGCTATGCTAGGAATGCTTTTAATTTTTATGTATTAGTTGTTGCTACCGCCCCCGTTTTCACAAATTACACGCATTTTCACTAGCGAAACGACCAAAAAACAAATGTTAACGTTAAGGCCCGTTTACATAGAACTTTGGCGTTGCGTTGGCGTTGGCGTCGCTTCAACAGCTGACTATGAATACATGAATTCAAATGCAGCCGTCCACATAGCCAAAATTCGACAACGCTCACGCCAACACAAAGCAAAAAGATGGCCAACTCTCAACTTTTCGCGTGCGTCGCTCGTCAGCTGTTGCGAATAAATAAAATTATGTGAAATATTTTTCCTTTTTAATCAAGTGCGGGCAAGAAATATCGTTTTTAATGCAATTATTGATATGAAATATTAATTTATCTGTCGTTAATATGTTAATTTAGTGGCCCAAGGATTCGCCGCCAAGCGTTCATTGTAGCAAGCATACTTTTAACGTGCGTTCTGTCAAACCAACGCCAACGCCAACGCAACGCCAAAGTTGTATGTAAACGGGCCTTTAATGCGCCTTTAAAAAAATTAAATCGAGTTTTAGGTTGTCAACTTGTCTACACACAGAGCA